AAAAAAAAAAAAAAAAAAAAAAAAAAAAAAAAAAAAAAAAAAAAAAAAAAAAAAAAAAAATAAGGAGGAATAAGGAGGAATAAGGAGGAATAAGGGGGAATAAGGAGGAATAAGGAGGAATAACCCCCTGCAGCAGCAGCAGCAGCAGCAGCAGCAGCAGCAACAGGAGCAGCAACAGGAGCAGCAGCAGCAGCAGGAGACTTGCATACCTTGTACATATCTAGCATCAATTTGTTTATAGGTAGGATTATTTAATTCTTGCTGCAGTTGCTGCTTCCTTTCTTGTCTTGCTGCTGCTGCTCCTCTTATTTCTGCTAATTTTTCTCCTTTTGCTGCTGCTGTTTTCCTTAAGGAATTAAGTATATATTCTATTGCTGCTGCTGCTGTTTGCTGCTGCTGCTGCTGTTGTTGTTGTAGTTGTGTTGCTGCTGCTGCTGCGATGCTATTTTGCTGCGTTAGTGCTGCTATCCCTTGCTGCACCGTTTGCTGCAGTGTCTGCTGCAGTGCATGCACTGTTTGCTGCTGCTGCTGCAGCTGCTGCTGCTGCTTCTTTATCTCTATACTATCTCGTACTTGCTGCAGCAGCTGCTGCCCTCTCTCAAAGGCAGCATTGAGTAACTCTTGCTGCTGCTGCTCCTGCTGCAGTGCAACAGTTAGCTCCTGCTGCTGCTGACGCAGCTGCTGCTGTCTTGTACCACTTGCTGATGCAGCAGCAGCAGCAATTGCTGCTTCTGCTTCCTGCACGCGCTGCTGCTGCTCTAATAGCATTGTAGCAGTCCTATAATACAAACAGCAGCAGCAGCAGCGCAGCCACAGCAGCAGATGCAGCAGCAGGAACAGGTAGGATTGTGTTGCTGCTACTGTTGCTGCTACACTTGCTGCTGCTGCTGCTGCTGTTGCTGCTGCTGCTGTGTATGTCTTACGTCTCCAACTCTGTAGCAGCAGACTCAAGTTGCCGTTGCCGCGCCTCAGCTTGCTGCTCCGCCTGTCTCTGCTGCTGCTGCAGTTGCTGCAGCTGCTGCCGAGTTGCATGCAGCAGTTGCTGCTGGCCTGGTAGAGCTGCTTCCCTGCAGCAGCAGCAGCAGAAATAGCAGCAACACAACAGCAAATGCTGCTACTAACGAAGAAGCAGCTGCTGCAGTGACAGCAACAGCTGCAGGCGCCGTCACTGCAGCAACAGCAGCAACAAGAGCAGCAATAGCAGCAGCAGCAGCAGTAGCAGCAACACAACCTCGGGTGTTGTTCTGCTGCAGCAAGGATAGGTTAGACGTACGCGGCTTGAAGTTGCTGCTGCTGCTGCTGCTGCTGCTGCTGCTCTTCATTGATTTGCTGCAGTAGTCGCTGCTGGTCTCCCAGCTGCGCCCTTAGCTGCAGCAGCAGCTGCTGCTGACCTAGTTGCTGCTGTTGCAGCTGCTGCTGCTTCTGCTGCGCTGCCTCCCTATCCGCAAATACCTTAGCTATGCGGGCCTCTAGTTCCTCTAGCTGCTGCTGCACGGTGCTGCTGCTGCTGCTGCTGCTGCTGCTGGTGCTTGATTGTAGGCCTGCTGCAGAGCGCAGCTTGCTGTCCATTTCCTTCGTCTCCTGCCTGCAAGCAGCAGCAGCAGCAGCAGCAGCAGCAGCAGCAGCAGCAGCAGCAACAAGAGCAGCAGCAGCAACATGAACAGAAGCAGAATACATTTATCCACTGAGGCTATTCTCGTGTTGCTGCTGCTGTTGCTGCTGCTGCTGCTGCTTCTGCTGCTGTCATCATCAAGACCTACTCAGCTGCTGCTACTGCTGCTGCTGCTGCACAAAGTTCAGCAGCATCTGCATGCGCCGCCTGCAGGTCCCGTGCTTTTTGTGTTGCTGCTTCTGCTGCTGCTGCTGCTGCACCAGCAGCAGCATGCAACTGTTCTTCACTCTGCAACAACAAACAGCAGCAGCAGCAGCAGCAGCAATAGCAGCAGGATGTGCAGCAGCAATAACAGAAGCGGTAACAGCAGCAGCAGCAGCAATGCCACCTCTAGACAGCAGCAGCAACAGCAACAGCATCAGCAACAGCAGCAGCAACTGCAACAGCAGCAGCAGCAACAGCAGCAGCAGCAACAGCAGCAGCAGCAACAGCAACAGCAGCAACAGCAGCAGCAGCTCACTAGCTTCATAGTAGATAGCTCAGCAGCAGCAGCAATTAGTTCTTTATGTTTTGCTGCTAGCTGCTGCGTCTTTTGCTGCTGCAGCAGAATCTTTTGTAGCTGCTCATGATGCTGCTGCATTTGCTGCTGCAGTTGCTGCTGCTGCTGCGGCAGTTGCTGCACTCTTTTGTCTATATTTTGCTGCAGCAGCAGCAGATCATTGCTACCATCAAAGGGTTTGCTGCAGAGGGGGCATGCTGCTGCTGCTGCTGCTTCTGCTGCTAATTGTTTATATAAATCTATTCCTCCTGCTGCTATTGCTTGCTGTTTTAGTTGCTGCTCTTGCTGCTGCTGCTGCTGCAGCTCAGCAGACACCGCAGACTCTATGCTGCTGACGTCCCAACCTGCAACAGTTTCCCAGCCTATCTCGCTGCTGCTGCTGCTGCTGCTGCTGTTGCTGCTGCTGCTGCTGCCGTTGGAGAGAAGGGGCTTTGCTGCATCTATTTGCTCAGCTAGATGAATGCATGCTGCTGCTGCTGCTGTTATCTGCTGCTGCAGCATTCCGTACTCTGCTGCGCTGCGGTCTGCTGCAGCATCTGCTGCCTGCTTCTGCTGTTGTCGCTGCTGCTGCTCTGCTGCAGCAGCTGCTGCTGCAGCACGTAACTGGTCCTCTGCAACCACACACAAAACATCCGCATGATTGCCGTCACCGCTGCTGCTTCTGCTTCTGCTGCCGCCGCTGCAGCAGACGCAGCAGCAGCAGCAGCTGCTGCTGCTGCTCTTTGTAACGAGGGTTTAGGGTTTAGGGTTTAGGGTTTATGGGTACCCGTTTCCTTAGGGGAGGACAAGAGGATATTAATGGCATGTTGCTGCTGCAGCGCAGCAAGACGAATAGTAAGCTGCTGCTGCTTCTGCTGCTGCAGCTGCTGCTTCTCCTGCTGCCGCTGCTGCGCTACTTGCAGAGACACCCCAAGTGTTTCGTGCTGCAGCAGCGCTTGCTGCACTTCCTGCAGCTGCTGCCGCTGCTGCTGCAGTTGCTGCAGTGCTTCTCCATACGAAGCACCTTGAGCCTCAAGACCTGAGCAACAGCAGCAGCAGCAACAACAGCAGCAGCAGCAGCAACAACAACAGCAGCAGCAGCAGGTAGCGCAAAGAATACATGTTTGGCCCTAGGCAGCGTGTTGCTCTGTAACTCGCAGCAGCAGCAGCAGCAGCAACAGCAACAGCAACAGCAGCAGCAGCAGCAACAATAACATACTCTTGAGCTGTTGGTCTCTATCTGCTGCTGTTGTTTGCTGCAGTTGCTGCAGTTGCTGCTGTATAGCAGCAATTGCTTCTTGGCATTGCTGCTGTGAGGGTTTTTGCTGCAGCTTTTGCTGCAGTTGCTGCAGTTGCTGCTTGCTGCAGTTAATTTGTGTTATAGAGGAACTTTCTGCTGCTTGCTGCTGCTGCTCCTTTTGCTGCAGCTGCTGTAACATCTGCTGCTGCTGCTGTTGCTGCTGCTGCTGCTCTCGTGCTGCTACTTGCTGCTGACGCCGCAACTTCTGCGCCTCTGATCTACACAACTCCACCACTGTCTCAGCAGTCTGCACAAAACCCTAAACCCTAAACCCTAAACCCTAAACCCTAAACCCTAATCCTTAAACCCTGAGTCTTATTCTTTGGGGTGTCTGTGCGAGCTGAGGGAGGAGTTGAACACACACAGCAATTGCTGCAACATTTGCTGCTGCTGCTGCTGCTGCTGCTATTTGTTCCTACCTGCTGCTGCTGCTGTGCATAAGGAAGCATTGCTGCTACCTTATCCATCAGCTGCTGCTGCTGCTGCTTAGCAGCATCTCTTCTTTCTTCTGCCTTTAGTCCATCTGATGCCTTAGCAACTTCCTGCTGCAGTTGCTGCTGCAGCAGCAGCTGCTGCTGCTGCAGCATATTCACTTTCTCGCATACTGCCTGCCTCCTCTCACTCTTCGCCTGCAGCAACAGCAACAGCAGCAGCAGCAGCAGGAGAGGCACAGCAGCAACGTCTTCACCACCCGCAGCAGCAGCTGCTGCTGCACGGTCATCAGCCAGTGCACCTGTATCAGCAGCAGCAGCAGCAGCAGCAGCAGCAGCAGCAGCACCTTATATTCATCGGATATTTTAACGAGTAGATCTTCTAATTCTTCGATGGATTCCTCAAAGACAATTGGCCCTTCGTCATCATCTTGCTGCTGCTGCTGCTGCAGTTGCTGCAGTTGCTGCTGCTGCATATTCTGACGTTCTTCTGCCATCTGTAGCTGCTGCTGTTGCTGCTGTACTTGACGCAACAAATCTGCTGCTGCAGCAGCAGCAGCTTCTATATGTCGTACTTCTTCCTGCTGCTGCCTGCAGCAACAACAACAACAACAACAACAAACACATGCATGCATATGCATATGCATAGATAGCATAATAACTAGGGTTTATTATATACACTATTATTATTAATTAGGGTTTAGGGTTTAGGGTTTATATACTGTATTTCTTGATTAGCTTCATCAATAATTTGCTGCTGCTGCTGCAGTTGCATGCGCAATGATCTTGCTGCTGTACGGTGTACATCCAGCAAACGTAAATCATTTTCTCTGTCCTTTAATTCCATCATATGCTCCTTCCTATAGCAGCAGCAGCAGCAGCAGCAGCAGCAGCAACAGCAGCAGCAGCAGACAGCAACAGGAACAGCAGGGAGCAGCACATGCATACATACATCCTCAGGAATCAAATCTTTTCCTGATTAAACACTTAATTAAATTAATTAATTAATTAATTAATTAATTAAATTAAATAAATAAATAAATAAATAAATAAATAAATATAAATAATTATACTTACTTAGACTGCCTACCTTAGCATAACTACTAATAAGGAATCTTTTCTTGATAGAATTCATGAACTAAATAACTAAATAAATAGATAAATAACTAAATAAATAGATAAATAACTAGATAAATAAATAAATAAATAAATAAATAAATATAAATAAATACTTACTTAGATTGCCTAATTGCTTGCAGTGCCTTAACATATCTAGTTGCATTGAATAAAGAATCAAATCTTTTCTTGATAGAATTCATGAACTAAATAACTAAATAAATAGATAAATAACTAGATAAATAAATAAATAAATAAATAAATAAATAAATAAATTAATTAATTAATACTTACTTAGACTGTCTAATTGCTTGCAGTGCCTTAACATATCTAGTTGCATTGAATAAAGAATCAAATCTTTTCTTGATAGAATTCATCAACTAAATAACTAAATAAATAGATAAATAACTAAATAAATAGATAAATAACTAGATAAATAAATAAATAAATAAATAATGTATTTATTTACTTACTTAGATTGCCTAATTGCCTGCAGAGCCTTAACATATCTAGTTGCATTGAATAAAGAATCAAATCTTTTCTTGATAGAATTCATATCTCCTAATGGCCAACAATTCTCTTCTTGATGACAAAACATCACATTCTCTAATACAGCCTTAGATGTATCTGCATCCATACATCCATCCATCCATGCATGCAGATATATATATATATATA